CATCATCTTGGATTTCATAAGCATCAGCCCTCTATGATGATAGTGCCCGAGCCTTTTGTGCCAAATATCTGTGATATTTTCTTTAATTGGGAAAGCAGTATGCTCCTCCTCCAATGGATTTAGAGCAAAACTCTTCCCTTTCATGATTATTTTGAAAATATCATGACCATTCACATCTTTGATCAAGCAGCAATTATTTTCAAACACTACTTTATAACCCTTCTCAATAAGCTGACCAACACTGAATAAATTTTGATTTATACCAGGGACATACAATACATCAGAGATGAACTTAGTACCTGAGCAAGTCAAGATTGCCACGGTTCCCTTTCCTTCAACAGCAAGGTATTAGTTTCTTCTCCATTTTCTTTCTGTAACTATATCTCACAGATGCATAGAGAGATAGATCGAGGAAGCGAGACTTATAAATTTGGAGACTGCTTTGGATTGTGAGGGCTGCCAACTATCATAAGCCATAACCCAAATAAGTACGCAATCAATCAAGAGAATAATTTTATCAGTTTTAAGGTATATTTTGATATTTGCCAGTGACAAGACTTAAATTCCTTGATACCTTCAGATCCTCCCACAGAATATGTAGAGCATAATCTATATAATTTAAAACTCAATATCATTAGATCAATCATAGCACACCAGAGTTAATTCCCTTTTACTAGGCTGAGCTTTTATGATCTATATTTGAAGCAGAAGATAATCTTATTAAATACTTCAGCACGTAAAACACCATTTAGTTAAGTAATTTACATTCCCATCACGCTTTCTATAAGCACAATTAATACATTAGAGTAAATCTAGGATCTCGACAATAACTTGGGTGGTTAATATTGACATGTTTTACATTAATCTGAGCACTCCATTCCACCTTAACAAAATTCTGACTACCAAATGATATACCTTCCTTTGCCTACTTTTGATCTGCATCCCTGTCTTCGCTAATAAGAGATGGTAAGAACTCCAGGCCTCTTTTCATGGTTAAAATATTCAAGTTTATCTTGGTCTTTCCACCACTCTCTGCCTTTAATCTGTAACTAAATCTTTGATTTTCGTTTTTTTATTATAAAAACTTGTAGGCTCGATATTTAGACGACGAACAGGACGATATTGAACTTGCTACAAAGCTCTCTCTTATAGAGCTTGACGAGAAAGGAAAGAAGCATGCGCATGGTGAGGATGCTAAGTAAAGTCTAGTTACCATTCGTCAAATAATTAGTCATCCATCGTTTTGTTTCATGGCACCCAATTAAATGATTAACCATGTACTTAAAGACAAATACCAGTACTTTTCTTTACAATTAATCATTAATCACTCCTCTTTTTTTTTAATCATAAACATTAGGAGATGATGAAGAGGAACTTGATAGAGCAATAGAAGAGAGTCTTAAATCTTCGAATACTCACAGGTAAAAAGTAATCTTGAATTTCCTACTTATTTTCTTTCGTCTTGTGGTTTTTTCTTTTCAAAGAACAGACTCATCCTATTTTCTTAAAATACTAAACTTAATTAGAGATTATTAATTAAACTAAACTTGAGATTAACTAAAATCACTGTTCGCCATGCATGTCTAGAAGTGTCGCTAACACCAACCCACGTCGGTCGCGTAGTTTAATCTGCGATGCCTGTGACCATCTGGTAAGTTTTTCAATTTTCCTTTGCAAGATATATATCATCTGTTTTTTTCTTCTTTTTTTTTTTTATTTTAAATAATGCTTTTAGAACCAACATATTGTTCAGATGCTATATGCATCGGAAACTATCCACCGAATTCTTAACAGATGCCCAGGCATCTAAATCCCACGATCGTGATTGAATAGTTGAAACAACAAAGATAACACAGAAGATATTACATCACATGATCCAACAAATCGGCATGGATTATATATATTGAAGATGAAAGCATGGTTTCATTCAAACTAAGGTTCACAAAGATCAACAAACAGAACTCCATTAGAAGACACGACGGCATGTGTCAATTGCTACCACCACCAAAGAGGTATCCCAAAGAAGATCCACCACCAGGAGCAGCATGGACCTTGGTTGAAGCTCGATCCGTGATGAAGTTGATAGTCAGTAGATCCATATCCATGACTATGTTGACTTACTAATGACCATGTTAGCAAATATACAGACAAGACAACAACATGTGTTTTATGACACTACAGAATTTACTTGTGAATGATACGTGATCTCAACCAAGAGTTTAACTAATTACTTGAAGTATTTCACACCAAGCAATCTGTTTTCTGGACAGATCCGAGGCCCGCACCTAAAACGTGAGTTCTGGAACCAAGTTTATTGTTATGATCACACGAAGGATGGCACTCATATATGCTGCTCCTGCAGGCGATTCGAGGTTTGTGTTACAGAAGACCTATTTATGAGGGAAAAAAGGAAGAAGAATTATTTTTTTGCAATTTAATACGATTGCCAACAGAGCATTATTATTATTATTTTTAATTAAGCATGTAGTATTTTGTCTTAGCTTATGCATGCAATATTCCATCAAAAGGCACATTTCTTGTAAACAAACTCTAATGCATCTAAAAAAAATAATCACCCGAATCTAGACAAGGTTATATACAATTCAATTTCCTGTTCAGAAGTGAAAAATTCTGGACAGGTCTTATAAGTTTCATTTTTTAAGTAACCATACATATGCATTACTTTCATGCAGCCAAGAAATGAAAAATTCGTTAGCCTTGGTGATGATCGCAGGGATGGCAGAAGAATATGCAACGACTGTTTTTCCACTGCTATCTTGGAGACACAAGGAATTGAACCTCTTGTACGCTATGTGCTAAGATTCTTCGATCATTTGAATATGAAAATAAAGGCACCTATTCCTGTCTTCTCGGTTGACAGAGGGGAGATGAGGAGACAAACAGCAGGAGGAACTGCTGTGGGAGTTAAGTCAAATCCCTTCCTTTTTTTCACTTGGCCTTTGTTTAAGATTGCCGTACAAATCGAGGTTTCTCAAAATTAATTTTTTTAAATAAATGGTAAAAAATAAAAAAATATTATTTTAATATATTTTTAAATAAAATTTACTTTGAAAAACAATTGCTAAAATAAAATTATAAAATATTCTTGGAATTTATGTGTTTTTTGTCCAGGAAATTATGTCATTTTCAAGAAAGTTTTTTTTGTTAGTGTTTTGAGAGTAAGTTTTTCTTCGAGAATCAGTTTTATACAGGACGTTTACACTTGGAGTGTAATTAAAAATATTCTTCTTATTAACCTTTTTTTTTAATCCTTCTTATTAACCTTTTTTTCTTAATCACATTCCATATATAACTCTATTCTAACATGGGAGGATCTTGAATTAATTATCACTAACAAGTAACAACGTTTTAATTAGTATAGTAAAGTATAAACTTCCAGTGTTTTGGAAATTAACTTCGGTTAATTAGCTGTTTGTGTACGTTACTTTCATTTTTAACATTTCTTCTTCTTCTTCTTCTTTTGACGTCGGTCTATGATATGTGTTTTGCAAACAGCCTGTTCATCCAGACACCACGGTACTTGGACTCACTATGTGCTCAGACAGGGACATCACTAGCGTAAGGATTGATTAATAATGAATTGTTAAATTAACTTGAAATTCCCATCGATTTATTTCATTGTCAAATTAAAGAGAGCAGCTCAACATGAAAGCAATGCTCTCAAGAATTAAAAAGAAATTTCCAACTTAAATTCATGAATTTTTTTTTGTTGGGAAATGATAGGTTGACAAGTCTCGGTTACAAGGGAGAAAAGTTGCTACAGAAATGGAGACTTACCGTTTCGGCCATGAATACAGAATAAAGATACTAGTTTTATTTGGCCTGCCCTGGTAACACTCTCCATCATATATGAGATCATCAATCAGCCAAAGAGAGATCAGGTTGATTTCCTGTTCTGAAGATTTACTAATTTATTGATTTACAGGGTCATGACCGGAGGAATCTTAGCTCATGAGTTTATGCACGCATGGCTGAGGCTTCAAGGTGACCTTAATTTAATTGTTTAGAGAAGAAGAAGAGAAATATCTGATCAAGATTTGTGGTGGCATGCTAAAGACTCATGAACCACGCTTGACCCTTGTTTGTTTCTTGATTGAAAGGCGTGTCACGCTTGAACCCAGAAATCGAAGAAGGTATATGCCAGGTGATGGGCTACCAATGGCTGGATTGGTTCGAAGCAGTAGATCCAGAGGCATCGTCTGGCAGAAGCGAGAAGGCTCAGTTCACGAGGAACTTGAAGAAAACTTTCAAGGGTGAAGTAGAAAACATGTTAGACGGCGCTTATGGTGATGGATTCAGAGATGCTCAATGGGCGGTCTCGAGATATGGCCTCGACCATGTCATCAGGCACATTATCCGTTACAAAACTCTTCCGAGAGGGTGATCTTAAAAACCACAAAAACAAAAAAAAAATAAAAATAAATCGCGGAACGGTCTGGAAACTCTGAGAGAAATACACAAGTTTGAATGGATCTGGTAAAGGCCAGGTGCTAGTTCTCTGGATTTTAAGCTGTCGTTGTACAATGAGGGTGGCTTTTTTATTTTTTATTTTCCTCATTATTATTAATCGAAGCATATGAATTTTAATACTTTCTTTTATTAGCAGATTCTTTTTGTTGGTAAATCATGGACAGACTCTACGGATGATGGGCAAGAGTTTGATAAATTATGGAGACAAAGGCCCAAAAAACCATCTCCTACGGTGTGAAAAGAACTACTTTACTCGATAGTTAAAAGTTGAACCAAAGAGCATGCTTACTATACACAATAATTAGGTCAATATAAATAAGGAAAGAAAGAATACCTGATATATAGCAAGGTAATTAGTATATTGTTATTTTTTTAAAATATAAAAAATATTTTAATTCTTTCTAATTTAATAATCAAGCTAAACTCGAAAAACTTGGATCTAGTACTTGAAATAAACATATTGTTACATCAAGTAGACTTGGATGAGATAATATTACTATACCCAAATTTACTTGAATAATAATAATAATAATAATTAAAAATACTTATTAGAAAGAAATAGAGGTTTCAGCGTGGACCACACACCCACGACACCCATAATTTATGTATTGACGTGTTGGACTAAAATGTTGCATTTAATATGGCCAATTTAAAATCAATCATATTTCTTATTGTATAATGGAAATAATAAAATATATACGCTTGAATATACAGTTTCACTAACTCTTTTTGAGTGTATTTCTTTTAAATCATTCAATGCATTTGTACAAAATTCACTAATGAATACAAATAATGAATCTCAATTTATGAATTTATACATTGAACCTGCTAAATATAATGGTTCGACCATATTCTTGATTGTATAGTTAAAATTTAGATTATCATTTACTATATTACTTTAAAAAAATACAAATACAAATACAAATTCATATATATATATATATATATAATTGATTCAAGAATATTTACTTTTTTTTTTTAAAAAAAAAAAAGAATCTCTGAGCATTTCATTTTCTTCAAAAATCTCCATTGACAACCACGCGATTTGGCATCCAAAAAATGACCATAAACGCCGATCCTTGTCAACAAAACGACAAATCAACCCTCCGTTCAAAATTAAAATTAAAAAGAAAAAAACCCGGAAAAAACATGGATCACGAGATCCTCTCATTATTATAAACCCCCTCTATTAAAAATGCGCACCGTTGAGACACAGTCCACATTAATTTCTGCCCTCTTAACTAACGTACGCCAGCACCCCCCCTCTCAATCTCCACCATGGCTATCTCTCCCCAACTCTGCCGCGTATCACTCCGCTCCGACATCTCCTCCGACAATAGCGTGCCTCTCCGCCGCCGTAGAACCACTTTCTCCGTCCGCTGCGCTGGCGGTGATGACTCTACTTCTTCAGTCTCTTTGGAATCGGAATTTGACGCCAAAGTCTTCAGACATAACCTGACAAGAAGCAAGAATTATAATCGTAGAGGTTTTGGTCACAAAGAAGAGACACTTGAGCTCATGAATCGCGAGTACACCAGTAAGTTATCTCTTATTATTATATTTTTTTAATTTTTTTAAAAAAACTAGTTAAGAAGACGTGAGAGACTTCAATTGGCAGTGAGTTTTGTTTGAATTTGTAGGTGATATAATAAAGAAATTGAAGGAGAATGGTTATGAGTATACATGGGGAAATGTTACAGTCAAATTAGCCGAAGCTTATGGATTTTGCTGGGGAGTAGAGCGAGCTGTTCAGATTGCTTACGAAGCCAGAAAACAGTTTCCTGATGACAAGATTTGGATTACTAACGAGATTATCCACAATCCGACTGTTAATAAGGTGCTATTAAATTTCTGTTTTCTTTTTTTAATTTGGCGAATTGGAGTGGAATAGAGCTGAATTCTGGCAGTGGAAAGCTATTTGTGATAAAAAAAATTTTTTTTGCAGTGATTCGATATTTAAGGAATAAATTGTTTCTAGTTAGTGATGGTACCGTGTTTCATTGTTATTGCAGCGGTTAGAGGAGATGGAAGTTGAAAACGTTCCTGTTGAGGAAGGGAAGAAACAGTTTGAAGTTGTAAATGGTGGTGATGTTGTGATTTTGCCTGCATTTGGAGCGGCAGTGGATGAGATGTTGACTTTGAGTGAAAAAAATGTACAAATTGTTGATACAACTTGCCCTTGGGTATCCAAGGTATGTATTGGATGGAGTTTTAGCCGTATGATATTAGCTTATTGTTTGTAATTGTTGGGATTTTTAGGTTCAATATATGTGTTTTTTTAATGAAATATATAAATATGCTTTGAAATCATGTGAAGGTTTGGACTACTGTTGAGAAGCACAAGAAGGGAGATTATACCTCAATTATTCATGGAAAATATGCTCATGAGGAAACTGTAGCAACCGCTTCTTTTGCAGGAAAGTACATTATTGTGAAGGATATGAAAGAGGTATGCTCCAAATACCAGTGGTGGTTAATATCCTTTCTTCTTTCGGTATATTAGAAAATCCTGGAATGTTTTTTTAACATGTTAGTCACGATTCGCAAAGATAAAGGAAGAGTTGTGCATGATCTCTCTCTGCTTTTTTTTTTAAATTTATTTTTGTTTAATGCAAAAATTCTGAGAAGTTTCTATTTAATTCAGGCAATGTATGTGTGTGATTACATTCTTGGGGGTGAACTTAATGGATCTAGCTCAACCAGAGAGGAGTTTCTGGAGGTAATTTTTTTTTTGTTAGCTTGGATTTGGTATTTTGGATACTAAATAAAATCCTAATGTAATTGGTTGGCTTGGTTGCAGAAATTTAAAAATGCAGTTTCTAAGGGGTTTGATCCTGATAGTGACCTGGTGAAAGTTGGTATTGCAAATCAAACTACAATGCTCAAGGGAGAAACAGAAGACATTGGTAAGTTTTAGTTACGTTAAGCTATTGTATTTTTTCTTAGAAATTGCCACTAGTGATCTCCGATTCACTGATTTTTCTTTTCTTGACAGGAAAATTGGTGGAGAGGATCATGATGCGCAAGTATGGAGTGGAAAATGTAAATGATCACTTCATAAGCTTCAACACCATTTGTGATGCTACTCAGGTGATCCTCTCTTCTAGTATCGTGATTCGACTTGTTCAGCGTTTCAGTAGTGTTTGGTGAAGCTCTTAGCATTAGAGAGTCTTTCCTAGTGTTCTTTCTTCTTACAATTTATAGAATTCAAATTCCATAGGGTGCCTTTTCTTCTCCCTTTACCACGTATCTCTAATCATAATTTCAAAATTTATCAACCTTAAAACTTTTTGAACCTTGAACTTCCCTTTTTCAAGGGAGAAGAGGATAGAAGCAAGGAATGAATATCATATATTAGAATTTCAAGTCTCCCAGTCCCACAACAATTGTATAAATGTATGAAGCCAAGTTATGAATTAACTAAAAGCAAGATTCTTTTATGGTAATTGTTTGGGTTCTTGTTTTCTTTATCTTATATTTATACAGCCTTTCTGCTTAATTTGCAGGAGCGACAAGATGCAATATATAAACTGGTGGAGGAAAAGTTGGATCTTATGTTAGTTGTTGGTGGGTGGAACTCAAGTAACACCTCCCACCTCCAAGAAATTGCTGAGCACCATGGAATTCCTTCATACTGGATTGACAGTGAACAGAGGATAGGCCCAGGAAACAAAATAGCTTATAAGTTGAACGTAAGCGAAATTGCTCATGCTCCCTTTCTTAGACCAATTTTCTGATTTCAATTATAGATTTCTCATTTATTCATCTCTTACTAGCATGGGGAGTTGGTTGAGAAAGAGAACTGGCTTCCACAAGGCCCCATTACAATTGGTGTGACATCAGGCGCCTCTACACCAGACAAGGTAATTTTACTGCAATAATCCCTTGTCAATTTTTTGCTGTCTATCATTTTTTCTGCCCTAGACATGCAATTTCTGAACTTTGAGATGATGGTATTGTAGGATTGCCATTCCTGCAAACCACGCGAAACTTTAAGTTTCCAGTTGTGCTAAATGTTATTAATATTATACACCTGGTGTTGAATGTTTGTAAAAAACTGATGCTATTTATCTTTAAATCAATTTCTATCAGGTTGTCGAAGATGCCCTTATCAAGGTGTTCGACATCAAACGCGAGGAAGCTTTACAACTAGCTTAAAGTTTAATGTGTTATATATACAGAGCAGTAGAGAGTGCCAGCCAGATACTGTACCATTAAACACAAGATCAATGTATCATGAACAAGAGGCTCTAAAATATCCATGTAATATCCTTTCGAGCACCTGAGTTCTTGAGTTGAGCTCACAATATCAATATAGAGGTTGCAGTAGTAAAACAATGCCGAGTGGGGTCTCTTAAATGACGATAATCATCTTTCACGAGAAGACCCTTACGGAATATCGGGCAAAAAGACGAGTCAAGTTTTGTTTATTTGCATTTTGTTGATAAATTCTTGATTGGTGCAAGCTATCAAGAAAAGTAATGGCACTTCCAACTCTGCAGTGTCAAACCAAGAAGAGGTTGCGATGAGGCAAATAAGTGGAAAAGGGGGAAATGCGAAAGCACACCACTATAATAACCAAGAGAAGTTGGAGACAATATAATCCGAGTGAGTGAAAAAAATATATCTTTCACGAGTACAAAAAATGGTCGATAGGCAACTGGGTGATTAAGGACAATCTCTAGGGCCTCGAGTTCAGGCCCCAGCGGCCACACGCTGTAGTGTCGTCTATAATAATGCCTGTAGCTATACATTTACAAGAATAATCCAATGCTCTGCAAGATGCTAAACTCCATGGAACAAGCTCGGGCTTACAGATAGAGTGTATGCTGGATTTCAGGGATTGGTATCTTGGTTTTACCTCAAAATTCAGAATCACATGTAAATCCCTTTGTAAGTGTTCATCTCATTTCAAGCTGCGGAAACTAGCCACTTGCAACATCAGATTGGTTTGAAAGAGACGATTCAACTATCTCCGGAACCTTATCGAGCAAAAGATTTATCTCGTATTGAAATTCAGCTTTTGCTCGGTTAGTCTTTCCTCCAACAATCACTGCTGTTCCGTCTTGTAAAGCCCATATCTTCGATTTGCCGGAATAAGAAACGGAATGAACACAATAGTTTAAACAGAAATCACCTATATAATTCATCAGAAAACATGGTAAGATAGACTCAACATGTGAACATAATTCTCACCTGTGAATGAGATAAGTAACTCAGGCAAGTTGTGAGCATTAGAGCACCAAATCCAGCATACACAACGGGCACACCTGGATCAGTCTGTACAAACGAAAAGATTTAGTTCCATGTAACTATCGTGCAACTGAAAGAAATTCATAATGTAGCGAGTCTTTTGAGTCTAGACCTTTAATTCAAGACCGCTGCTTCCAATTGCATCTTCAATAATAATTTTCATGCCATTTATGTCAATCGGAAGCTTAGAGTTGGGTCTTCGCACTCCAACAAATTTCCCTTCTTGATCATATAGGACGATGGATTGTAGATCACGAGCAAGCATTGATCTGAAAATCAACATCAAAAGGGCTGAATGGCAATGCACAAACATAAAACACAAAACTAATTTCAGCAAACAAAATAACTCTGGAGGACTGTCAACCACTAACAGCAGCATGTGAACAAGCTCAAGAATTTTATCCATTCATCTTGATGACCACGAGACTTGGTTAAAAATTTAAGCAACTATATGAAAATTCTCAGATATGGAAAAACTAAAACACTATCATAATCACAGCAAAGTGCAAATTTGACTAAGAAACTGAATGTTAGTTATAGATACAAGTGAACAATAACAGTATTTATTCTCTAAATTCTTGTGTAAAAAGTATGTACAAAAGAAGAAGAAGAAGAAGAAGAAGAAGAAAATCAGTAAAAGAAATACATACATTCCCTTGACATTAGGAGAGTTGACATCCCCTACTGGTAAGAAGGTTCCATAGAGTTTATTGTCTCCACTGATTTTTAATGGTGCCATAGCCAAATTGAAAGGTCCTTCATCATCCTTGCGTACCTGCAAGGCGGAAATACTCCAGTCTGTCTGGTACATAGTGATCCCACCATAACGTAATGGGTCATTTACACTAATTGTTTTCCTCATAACCTCCTTCCCATTAAGGTCAAATAGTGACAGGTCAGTGTGAAATTGTTTGATCTACAAGAAGAAACACCATATAAGAGAAAATATGTAACACATATATAAATTCAAGTAAGCACAGCTGAAAAGGCATGTATAGGCACTGATGTGAAAGAAAATCAACACCTACATCACCACCATCATAGTAGTCCATGTAGAATCTGTTGACATGAACCTCGGTATTGAAAGCTTCAGTGGGAGTTGAGAGAAACCCACTTGGTCCCAGAACATCTCCTACAACAAAATTCAGTCCTTGTGGAACTGTAACTGAGCCTCTAAAGCTCCCAGTGGCACTAAGAGTTGCTCCTGCCATTATCAGCAGCATAGCTAAATGTACTCCAATAGGGGAAAACCGACCGGCCAGCCCCTTAAATGCATATAGAGAGGGTCCTTTCAAGAATACCTACATTAATTAAACTGTGAATAGTGAGCACAAAAACATATATATCAGGTACTAATGCTTGAGGAGCTGATAATAATGTAACATGAAGGTTGCTAATGTTAGCAACTCAGGATAAAGTATCTGCAGGCAATATAACTGTTCAATTTGTTGCAAGCAGAAATTGAAACGAGTGTATTCATGCTTAATAGCTTTTGAATTGAGCTTAATAATGTAACATGAAGGTTGCTATTGTTATACTTCTGTACATAATCTCGAATGTGTGTTTCTTGCACTGGATAACTAAAAATCATCATAAGCATGAACGGCCTGATAGGGAGGTAATGTTTGGCATTATGTTCGATAAACTAATTCCAACCAGAACAGAAGGAAAAAAAGAAAAAAGACAAAATCAGTTCTGCGAAAAATGGGACTATAACGAGAAGAACAAACATCCAGTCTCATGACTCGGCCATGCAGGCCAATGGTTCAAGCTTATAAGCAATACACATAGTTTAAGAAAATAAAACAGATTTCACAAATGCAACACAATTGAAACTATTCCATAACCTCATATCCAGCTCCCATCAGAATAACACCCAAATCTTGAACTGATGCCCTGGGCAAATTGTCCGAAAATTCCTGTTTACGAATAGCATCAGCAGAATGTAAGTAATTCCACCTGCATTTAACAACAAAGCTGTGTTAACAGGAAACTTCCTCTTTCCTAGTATGATAGAGCAAGATGCCAAAAATCAAACCTTCTCGCAACCTTAGCCAGGGGGATCTGTGTGGTGTAAGTGCAGGCCATAAGAGATACTCCTAAGAGAGCCAACATTCCCAGGAAAACAGGGGATGAATACATGTGATCGAACCCGAGGGTGAGAACCCACTTCCAGGTGAAGAATCCTAACAAAGGATTCTCTTCTGGGAACTTTTGGAAATAGAATTCTGGAGCCTCCCCTTGATCAATAAGAGTACCTGCATAAGCATTGCATAAACCTGATGAACAAATTCAAGACAACCAATGATGCAGAAGGAGTTACATAAGCTCTAATTCTAGCACTTAAATTTCATTTCTGACACCAACACATCAATTAAACTTCTGAAGACAGCAAGACTAAACACTAACAGAGGTTTTAACATACCTAGAGCCATTAGCACAGCAATAGAGAACATCTCTCCAATAGCCAAAGGCAAATTAGACAAAACAGACAAAACCTTTCTAGGCAACCTCTTCAAGAACCCCAATGCTCCAGTTCCTGTCTTCACTGGAACTTTCTCTCCATTACCACCACCACCACCACTCTCCTCTGACAAAACAGGTGGAGCTGAATTCGATAGAAGAATCTTCCCGGACGCGTTCTTGTCCTTGTCCTTGATCTCTTTAGATGTTTTGAGCTTGCAACAAGTTACAATGGTTACAGAAAGTCTACTTCTCTTGTTGTTGTTGCTGTAAAGAGTGTGAATTTGGGGTTTGAGCTTAAGGATTTTGGAGTTAAGGAGAAGAGTGGGTTTGCGAAAATGGGTGTTGAATAGAGATGAGCGAAGGGGTTTTGTGGGGTTCAGAATATCCATTAATGGAAAACTTGAAGCTCTGTTTGTGGGTTTCAGTTGAAGATAAGAGAAGTAGCAGTTAAGACTTGGTTTATCCTGTTGGGAGATATTATGTTACCGGCGTGCCTTTTTAAACACCTTCACATGAGCTTGCCAAAATGCACTTGCCATGTCAATACCTTCAATTTGGTTATTGGGAGTACATACTTTCCTTCAATTTTGTATGATATCCTTTCTATTGAATTTTATCCATTAAGGTGCATTTATTTTCTTATAAAATATCACAAAAAACTGGTAAAGAGAATTAAAAAAATAACTCCTGCCAACATTAGATAAAACATCATGTACAACCATGAAAAGATTATCATCAAGGAATTAACTTTCAAGAGTTTTATAATTTTTCATGAATTTTTAGTATTTTTTTTAAGAAAAAAATATGATTTTCATGTTAATTTGGAAGAAATTTAACAACAAGGTCAGGTCAGTTATAATAACCATAATTTGAATGTTGAAATTTTTTTTTAAAAAAAAAAAATTCGGGCAACCAAAATGTATATTTGAATCAAGCTCCTAGTTTTATTTATTTTGGAGCGGCTTGTTAAAGATCAAAGAGGCATGGAATACAGGCTTCTTGTTTTGCTTGGGCTTTAGGCCTTTAGCCCCTCAAGTATCCAAAAAAAAAAAGGCTTCATTGCATATCAACTCAGATCAAGTATAAATTTAAAAGGTGTGCATTGTTCATCCTTACTATGTTACTCATGTTATTACTGTGGACAAGATTTTTTGTTTTTTTTTTATAATTTGAATATTAATTTTTTTGGGTAATTTAATTCTAATTAAAAATCAATTAATTTTGATTTTTTATGAAAAAATAAAATTGAAAAAAAATGAAATGAAAAATACACCAAAAAACATGAATGAGATGCTATAAGTTTTGAAAAAAATACATTTTGATCCTCGAACTTCAAGAATTACATATATTATTTGAAGAGTTTTTGATTCATCTATAATTTTTTTATTTTTTGTATGGATAAATTTTATTTTTAAAAATAATATATATATATATTCAAAGTGTTGTGTCTGTGACAGGCTTTGCAGCTGCTCCCTTTATGTGGAGAATCGGGACTCCAATTTTAATCAATTTACAGGTTGTTTGGAACTTAAATTTGAATCAAATTAATAGATAAATTTAGAGAAAGATCTCGATTTGTTCATTAATTAGGCAACAACGATTTCGTTGCATACCCCATTCAATTTAAGCAAGCAATTGCCAATTTTTTTCTTTAAATTATTTTTTTATAATTTCATATTGTTTTCATTTGTTATATATATCAAGAATGAATTTAAAAAAAATAAAAAAATATCATGGTCAGCTTTTACTGTTTTTTATCAGCAAATACTAGCGACTGATCATATTTTTTATGAAACAAATTTTCAGTTTAGATTAATCACTAAGATCTCGAAAGAATCCTCGAATATGCACTAGAGGGATAGGAGATGATTCTGGTTTCAACTATTTTTTCAAGACCAAAGAATTCTAACACGAAATTTCAAAGAGAAGGATGAAGGGACACCATTTTCAGTTAAAAAAAATATGAGTTAATAAATTTCAGGAGAAGGATTGCTTTCTAATGTGAGCAGATATGAAGAAGATTCTGATTTCGTCACTGAGATACACCTTTCTTTAGAATTGTTTTCCCACCACCAATCATTGATCAATTCTCAAACATCTATGATTCTTTCGACATTATATACATTGAGTGAGTCATTAAACATCCTGGGTCCTAAATAAGTTGCTTGGCCCCGGGCTGACTTTCCCCAGGTTCTTATGCGCTCCTCAGCTTGCAAAACCTGCAATATTTAGCAAATCTGTTAATCCTGCAAGAAATGAATGACAATTATACCGAAAGGAAAGGAAATGCTAGAAGATGAAGCACGTTTCTTAGGTTGCTTAATTTATCATCCCTGGATTCCAATCTTGTGCTTCTGCAGGCTGCAGTTTCTAACGGAGCAAACAAATTCAGGTTCTGGGATATGTGTTATGCATGCTTTAAATTCTCATAAACTGCCTCAAATATTCGAAGGGCACCAAGTTTCTTCATGCCTGTCACCCTTGCCAGCCACTGAGTGCTGGCTAGTCATGTCATCATTTTTATATTGAAAAATCTGTGATGTCTATTATCTGCGATTGAAATATAAACTTACTTCGTTTTTCCAGTTAATTTGGAGATGAATAAAGAGAAGATTTGTAAGACAACATCCCTGACAAAATCCCTTGAACACCAAGCTTAAATTGGTATCCAAGCAAGGCACCAGCAGGAAGTCCAGAGATGCAGTAACTTGTAGTAGCGATCAAGGCAAAAGGTGAAATATTAAATAAAAGGTCGTTAATAGTAAACGCCATATGTATTGAGAAAACCTGTTCAATTTCTAGGTATAAAAAGTGAAATATTGATAAATTTATGCGAATAAGAAAATTATATCTGGATGATATTGAAAAATTCTAATTATAAGGACTAAAATATACATTTATAAATCTATGCGTACAAGAATGATTTAAGAGGTGAAGTCATCGTGAAAGGAACAATGGATATGCGGTTTGTTATTCAAAATACAGGCTATTTGATAGCTAGGCATGATATTGAAACCTTTTAAAACTACAAGGTTTGTTATTGAAAATATTTCAATTATAGACATATAAGTGAAGCGTTGATGAAGTTATATGGTTGAGAAAACTATAAGGGTGATATTGAAAAAACTTTAAGCGTTCGGCACTAAGATGAAATATTGGTAAATTATATGGAGATTAAAATTAAACATTTGAAGAGAGAGAGAACATCGTTAAAGGAATAGTGCCCGCTCGGATAAATTAAAGATGGAATATGATTACACATATAGATATGTTTGCTTCCTATAAAATAATTTTAAAAAAATTACTTTTCAAATTTTTTTATGTTTGTTTATTATTAAAAAAATTGATCAACAAAAAAAACTTTTTAATCAACGAAAAAAATTTTCTGGTAAACAAAAAACACTTTTTAGTCAAAGAAAAATTTGGCTTGATTTTCAGGAAAGTGTTTTTCTTTTTAACTGTATTTGTTTTCCAGAAAATGATTTCCGGAAAAACACTTTCCAAACTTTATTGAAATTTTTTATTTATCAAATTTGATCCTCATTCTTTTGATTGTTACTTATTTTATTTGAAATACTTTATGAAATGTTAATTATTATTATTTTAATTTCTTCATCTTTTTTTTTAGATTTGATCTTTATTATTTTGATTATTATTTATTTTATTTGAGATAATTTATGAAATTATTTTTTTTTAATTTCATTATTATTCAACTTTTTTAATTTGTAAGATTTTTTCCTCGTTATTTTAATAAACTTGAAAAAAATAAAAAATTAATAAATTATTTTTCAGTTTATTTTTCATAACATAACCAAACACTTGAAAGTGTTTTCCAGTTCATTTTTCATAACACTATCAAATATCGGAAAATAATTTACTTTTTAGGAATTCATTTTTCTCGGAATTCACTTTTCAAAAGAAAACAATTTTTCTGCAAACAAACGAGCCATATTATCCTTATTCTTTTGTACTGTATATTTTTTGAATAATTGATTTCTTGAAATATTTTTTTGTTGGATTTATATTTGATTACTTATATTTAACTATGTAAGAGAGTTGTGATAAGATTCAACATTTAAATGAACTTAATAGTAATTATTTCATGTATTTGAAAATAAAAATCTATTTTAAAAAGCACATTACACCACAATTTTAAACTTTTAAATGCTCTTAGTTAGAGTTGAATTGTACAATTTATTATTATTTTTAACAGTATAAGTTAATTGAAATTGTCCGGAAAAAAATTGCGTTTATAGATACCAGTATATTGTTCACATATCTCTCTATCAAAAGAAAAATTACATTATTTACACTCCAAAAAAATTATAGTTATAGTCAAATTAAAGTATATAATTTAATGGAATTGGCGACGAAGATCAACATCGCAAATACCATGTATTAATTGACTTAGTTTGTAAAATTACTATGAATCTTTCCAATAAATCAAATATATGGAGATCTGAGTTTCATGAACTAAAAGAAAATTTCATTTATATGATCTTTCTTTTGATCGAAGAGAAAAAAGACAAGAAAATCAAGTTGGGGTGGGGCACCGGCGGCTGTAGCGAGCGGCGGCTGATGATGAGCGCGCAGAAAGAGGACTTTCAGTGTAGTGACAAAAAAGTGTAGTAGAATTTCTCAAGGCAGATTGAGGTTGATTCCTGGAAACGCGGCTGTCTCCGCCGAATCCATGTGCTCGTTACCGGTTTGGTTTGTTCGGGCATGAATGTAGAAACTTGGTCAAGCACTCGTTTTTCACTGCCTTCAATCTCTCTAGAAAATATTTTATGAAAAATAATAAGGGATTTAGTTTTTTTTTTATGGTATTTTCAAAAATTTTGGGATCCAAAAATATAAAAAACTTATATTTAGTATTCATTACTGTAATGAAATTTCAATGTTTTTAAATATATGTAAATAAATATTGTGCATCAAAATTTTTTTTAATGTAAAAAAATCTTTCAATGTTACTAACAAGTTTTATAGCAGAAATTTTTTTAACCATGTAAGGGTTAATCTAATAGAACTCGATTAATTTGACAGATTTAAAAATAACTTGAACGACTAATAAAAACATATTAGATTGACTCATGTCAACTTAGAGAAAGCTGTCGAATTCACGACTTGGATAATGAAGTTGAGATAACCATATAAAAATCAAATCAAAATAAATTATGAAATCTAAATCTCAATCAACCCCATACTAAATAATAAAATTGAAAAAAATGGATCAAAAAAGATCAAAAAACAAACAACTTTAGTAAACTAGAATTTACTTACCAAACTCGCAATTCAGTTCATGTGACTAAGATAACTCTCTAGAAATCAAATCAAAATAAATTATAAAGTTCAATTCTCAATCAATCCATTATTAAAAGTTAAAATTAAAAAAAATGTTAAATAAAAGACACAAAAAATAACTCGAGTAAACCCATAAAACTTGTGATTTGGATAATAAAACCATGATAACCTTATAAAAAATAAACAAAAAAA